CAATCACACCTCGCCAGCTTCAGAGTGGTGCAGGGTCCTGTCATGGGGTTGCTGTCGATGTGTGTGCCTGGCAACCGCAAAGCTGCAGCCCATTGTAAGTGTACAGCAACCGTGTGTGGGAAAAGTGGTTGAATAAAGATGCAACAAAGCATGGTCTGCCGTGGTCATTTACACTTACAACCCCCTCTGTTGCATAAAAGCAGTGTGGTAACATACACTTGTGAGCATCACCTGAAAGTATTGTACTGCAGAAAATTCCGTGTTGCTACAAAAATGGCACGAATAGGGGAATTAACAATGGAAGCGAGACAGACCATCAAACACTTAAAAATGTTATTCCTACAGAGAAATTGGAAAGAAGGTCAAGGTGTCAGTGAGCAGTTTCCTTCAACATCAAAAGGCCTCAGAAACTGTGACAGGAAGAGGCCACAACTGAATCAGAGGACAAGTTCCTGAGAGTTAACCGCCTTGTGTGATCAGCGGCTCACAGAACAACAGCTTCAAGCACAGCTTAATAGTGGTATAGAAAGCAAGTCTCAGTCTCAACTGTGAAGAGAAGACTTCGAGCTGCAGGTATGACAGGACGAGTTGCAGCAAGAAAGCCATCGCTAAGACGTCAGAATAAGACAAAGAGGCTTGCATGGGCCATGAAACCCCACCAGTGGAAGACTGGAAGTCTTGAATTTGAAATCTTCGACATGCAGGATCTTTGTACACCATCAAGTAGGCGAAAGGATGGTTCCTCAGTGTGGCGCATCAACTGTCAAAGATGGAGGAGGAAGAGTGATGGTCTGGGGCTTTTTTTACTGGATCCAGGGTCGGCGACTTGTACAGAGTGATGAACTAAAACGGCTGCCGCAGCATTCTGCAGTGCCATGCAATACTCTCTGGTTTGTGCCTAGAAAATAGTTGGGGTTCATCCTACAGCAAGATAATGACCATCGAGTCTCCATCGAGCTGGTTTGGGATGAACTGGACAGAAGAGTGAAAGCAAAGCGACCTACGAGTGCCACATTTATGGGACCTTCTGCAACAGATTGGAAGGACTTTCTGAAGAATATTTGATTTCTATTGTAGAAAGACTCCCACGGGTGTGTTCAGCTGTTATATCTGTCAAAAGTAGATACTTTTTTTTTTTAAACTCCAATTCCGTATTTGTACAATGCTTTCATTTCAGAGTGCAATGAGACATTAAAATGCATAATTTTCAATTAGAAAAACTGGAAAAATTGGGGTGTTCTAAGACTTTTGACCAGCAGGTTATGTCGACAGCACAAACTTACGTTTCTGTTCGGGGCAGAAGTTCTTTTTGGGGTTGCGGGATCTCTTCTTCTGCTTGTTTTTAGAGAGTGTGTCAGCTGACTCACAGTCCTCCAGTGCCCTCTTCTGACAAACTGTCTTTTTCAACACTGATGCCTGGCTGTTACCGTTGGTAACCGTCTCTTTTGGCCTGTAACGTGATCATCCAACAGTGACAAATCTTTTGAGAAGTGTGTCCATGGATCAAAAGATGTGCATTACTTTCTTTTTACTGAAGTAAGTAGAGATGTGTTGTGACTTACACTGGTCTGACATATGGCTGGCAGATCCAGTGGGGGAAAGGAAGTCCGCTTTCTTTATCTTCTGAATCTTTTCCTTTGGCTATCTCGTCCTGAATAGACAGAAAGCCACAGTCAGGAATCTTTCAGTGCCGCAATGTCTCGATGCATGCTCAATCATCCAGGTAAATAAATCCCAAAAGGTACGTCCAGATGAACAGAATCAACCTTTTGGGAGGGTGCCATAACATCACACAAACCCAATGGCTGCATTTCAAACTAAAATATAGCAAAAATGTAAAAAGTCTATGCTAATGAATCTTCTGACACAAACATCCAGTACCCTGATGTGGTGTTTTATACAAAAATGCACAATTAATTAAGTTAATACATTATATGAAGAGTAACAGCGAGCTGATCAGGCAGAACAAAGAGGTACAAAGGGTGTGCGTGCCCAACTGGGCTTTTTTTTTCCCCTTTCTTCTTTTTTTAGAATTACAAAAACTTCCCAACTTGTGGAAAGGACAGAAAACACTTTCTACACTATGACATACAAATCAAAGGTCATGTGACCCTGAACAAGCAGCAACTGAACAAGCTGAAGCTCTAAACCAGGGGTGAGGAACTCAAGGCCTCAAGGGCCGGTGTCCTGCAGGTTTTAGATCTCACCCTGGGTCAACACACCTGAACCAAATAATTAGTTCTTTACCAAGTAGGACCGTGTGACATGACCAAAATCTCATATCCTGATATAAGACATTTATCGTCCCAACAACGATATAAACCACAAACATTTTTCCTTTTTTGTAAATTCTGTGTGAATCTCGGGCTGAGCTGCCCGAGATTCACACAGAATCCCAGCTGCAAACACTTCACGCCAGTTGAGCTACTTGCGTGAAGTGTTTCCAGCTGGGCGTTGTATACCTGGAGTTGACCGTTTTGACCGATGCATGAAACGATACATTTTTAGACATAAGTTGTAACGTCCGCCATTTTCTTTCTGAGTATTTATTACACGGCGTGCTGCGGGGAAAAAGCCTGTTCTAATGTTTGAGTTTAAGGGTTATTTTGAGCACCTGACGGCTCTTTTTTGCTTCTCATCCGTAAACTCTCTCCATACTCTTTTACGTGACTCTTGCGTAGGTGGTAGAAGAGGTTTGTCATGTTTGAGTCCATGGTGGAAACCAGTTTGCAGCAAAATTTGCATCGTACAGTTTTCTACTCCGTGTCAGACTTTTCATAACCAAACCATGTCCATGCTACAGAGGCAGCCCCTTGTTTAGGAATAAGGTCCTTGGTTTGTTTTTTTTACTGGTCCTTCTGTTTGTCATCATTTCAGTTTATTGCTAACGACAACGCATAAAAACAGTCGCTTGTCCATCCGTAGTGTGGTTATTTTAATTATAAGAGAAAGAGAGAACGTTAAGAAATTCATATAGCCACTACAGTGACCATCAAAACGATGAAAAAAAAAAATATTGCCGTAAACGGTTTATGTTGCGACACCACGAAACAAACGATAGCGTAAAATGAAACGATAGACGTTTTCGTATCGCCATCTGATATATATCGTTATATCAAACAGTCCTAACTTCAAGACATGTTGAGGAGGTCATTTAGCCATTTAAATCAGCTGTGTTGGATCAAGCACACATGTAAACCTGCAGGACACCGGCCCTCAGGCCTGGAGTTGGACACCCCTGCTCTAAGCAGTTATACATGGTGTCAGTGCCGCTTTCCTTAAAGCTTAAAAAAATCAACAGACAACATCAGGTTAATATCAGCATTTGACTGAAATATTAGTGTCTGCCTCTAAAAATCGAACTTTCTTGCACCTTGTAGGTGTTAAGGCTGTGATGACATCTTGACCACATGTGAAAACTATAGAGGAAATGGGTCATGGTGAGTTTCTAATGCAACACAAAGTCTACTTGCTACTGAACAATGCACCTCATTATCACATCATTCCACGGATTCTTTGGGAACTGTGTTGCTGAAATGCCTGTAGTACACAGACATGACTGCAGTCTACCCACTACACAGCACAGAACTATATAAAAACATACAATGATTACTTTAATAATGTCCGTCTGCTTCTTGTTTCACCTCTGTCGCTATGGTAATGCTGAGCTCTTAGCTACCTCCTCAGTTGTGCATATTTGAAAGGAAGTTTCCTGTTTGTACCTGACAGCGAAGCCTCAGCTGTTTGCTAACGTCAGCCAAACCCTCCAGAGTCTTCACCTTGGCCAACTCCTCCCTCAGGTCCTGGTGGATCTGCAGCCTGAACAGACACATGCATGCAGCATGCAGGAAAGGTCACGTTTTAAAGCAGTACTGCTGAGCTATAGCAGGAAGAAACATTGTGTATGTTTCCTACCCTGTACTAGATCACTCAATGAACAGCGAGCATGAAATATGATCTGGTGCAGTTATGTTTAAACTCAGTAACTGGGTAGACATGACACGCTATCATTTAGTCTATTAGGAACTACTGAGACCTTCCTGGTGTCATGCCCGATGTTAAAATAAGCACAGAGGACAGATGTTCATCTATGCTGGCACCTGAAATGTGTTGTAGGTCATCACAGAGAAAGTTTGATCCACCACAGCTTGTATAGGAAAAGATGGACACTGTGATGTCACTTATTGGTCCTGATGTTTTAAAACACACATAATAGACGAGGGGCGGAGCTCCTAAACCAGACTTTATCGTTTTTTATTACTCCACACTGTGTAAAATTAAAATCATGTTGTATTCAGTAATTTAAACTAATGACTGAGGCAATAAACTCATCAGCAAGTATTTTTTTGAGCTTATAAATCAAAGAAGCCATATTTGACTCTTGGACCAGTAGCATTTCTGGGAAACAGAATCTCCAAGTGCAGGAGGCAAAGAGAGACATACGTGTGATGCCACAGCTTGAAGAGGTGGGCTCGAACATAGGACAGAGTACATGGAGGATACCGCTTCACCACCTCTAGATACTCCTCAGCCATTTCCCACACCGGGGGGCTGCGGCCTTCAAACAGCGCTGGGTTATGGAGGTTCCCCTCTAAGAACAATACAACACAGAAATTGTGGTTGCTATGGTCGTCATCATCACATCAGGGAAGAAAAGTAATAAATAAAACAAACTCCTGCTCCTGACCTGCACTCATCACTCCCTGCACGCCTGTTTCCTGAATGCAGCGCTCCACATCACTGAGGTGCTGAATGTTGCCGTTAGCAAATACTGGAATATTTACCGCCTGCCTGTAACAAATCACAGAAGTCAATATACATTAATGTTATTTGGCTCATCAGCTTCATGGTTCATCTGATTTTGCTTTAATATCAAAGCTACTGCATTTAATTATTAGTTAGGAAACATTGGAAACAGGAATCCATCCCACATCAGATACAGAAGACGAGCAGCTCACCGTACAGCCTTTATGTGCTCCCAGCTAGCGATACCTGTCATGGCGCCTTTCTGGTCTTTGGTTCTGCCGTGCACTGTCAGCAGCTGGGAGACACGTCAAGACCCATCAACACAGATTTATTCTAATGCTTCTGGAAACACCATTTAAAGCAAACACACAAATCAACAGTCAGAAATGAAAATAAACTATGCAGCTGTGCGTTACGCTCGTTCAGTGAAGCGTAAAACAAAGATGGCCGAGCCACACCAAACATCAGATTTGCTGAATTTACTCCTCATCACTGCTCCAGTTTAAAAATGATTTTCTAATGTAACACACTGTTTTCTGTGCATGTAGTTTTCCTTAAAAGCTCTTATTTGTAAAAGGACTTTACATAGAAATGGAACACATCCTTAAAAGTACATACTGGCAAAGTTTGCTTATGGTGACTTTTACAATAGCCCAGCTTCAGCCCGTTCGTCTGTCTTTCTATACACTGTACGAAGCTCAACTTAGAAAAATCTTTCCCCCCCCCCTTACAACAACAGCTAAAGTAAAAGGACAATTCTGTTTCTGCTACAGACTGGGAAGTGACAAGCCGGAGAGCTGGCAAACTCATTCAAATTAATGCAGAGGTCATACCTGACATCCAGCGTTCTCGAGCATCTGGGCATAGCGGACTGTCTTTTCAACCTCCTTGAACACACGGATCTTGCACGTGATTGGCACTTTGAGCTTTTCGTTGGCTAAGCTGACTGACAAATAAGGGGAAAGTTTAGGTGCCTGAGATTAAACTGATTAAACAAACAGAAGATGTGGGAAAAATGTTTTTGCATCATGAATATTCGTGAAAACATTATGTCCAACAACAGTCTTCAGTCACACAAACACAGACTTACCCATTTTTTCCAACAGGTCCCATTCATCTTGTAGAAAAACTCCATAGTGTCCTTAAAAAAAAAAAAAGAAAAGAGAAAAGAAAAACATCAGTGTCAAGTTCCCCTTTCACTCGTCTGCAAGTTTGGCAACACTATTCTTTCTGATGCAATCTTTAAGAAATGGTAACATAAGAAATTCATGGGTTCATATATGAATGAAAGGTTTACCTCTCTTAGCGATCATCTGTGGACAGCCCAGGTTGAGATCAATGGCGTCACAATAATCCTGAGCCAGCAAAGCTGCCTGAAGGAACACCTCTGGATCATTGGCACAAAACTGACACACAGAGGATGGAACACTGATTTAGATTAGGCAACAGCCGATGAAGTGATTAAGGTGATGTAATGGTTACATTTGTTTCTTTCTTTCTTTGCCTCTGATAAGGAGGTTTTGAAATGGGCAAAACTGAAAATTTAAATTAAAAAATGGACAAATAACAAAAGCCTGCACTTTGAATTTTTTTTTACTGCACCACAAACGTCTTGAAGTTTAAAAAGAAAACAAATAAATAGAAAATACAAAACTATTAAAAGCATTTTTAAATTACTGATATTACTATTTAAAAACCAACAAACAAAGAAGTCAACTCAGTGTTGATTCTCACCTGTGCAATGAGAGGGCTGTCCTCCTCACAAACTTCATTGTAGAGGTTTTCCCTCCTGTAGTTGGCGTCACGGACAAACACCTGAGCATGCAGCATGGGGGTGTAGCAAAGCTGAGCACCGTGTCGGCGGCTAAGCAAACGCCAAGCCAGCTCACTCTGGTCCACCATGGGAGCCACCACATAGCGTGCTTCTTTCAGAGTTTTCCTCCAAAACTCAAAGCCCTGAAGTTTGGCCATCACAGCTGACTTTGAGAGAAAAGGAAGGATAAGAGGTAAATGGACTGGTTCTTATATAGCTTTTCTACTCTACCTGAGCATCCAATGCTCTTTCTATGCCGGTGCTTTCTAGCTAACATTCTCACACGTTCATTCAAACAACTGGGGGCTAGCATCTTGTCCAAGGATGTTTGGCATAAAGACTGGAGCAGTCAGGGATCGAACCCTCAACCTTGTTATTAGTAGATGACCTCCTGAGCTGCACAGGTAAAAAGTTATTTTCCTGCAGTTTCAACACAAAAACTCATCAAGGCATGGGTTTTTGAAAAACTAGCCAACTACTCCAAACCCTGTCAATATAGCTAAAATAAATAATAAAACAATAACGTAGAAGCAGGAAGGATAAGCAGAGGTAGCCCATCAGGTAAATGTGTAACAGATACATTTTTTGATTCTCCATGGGGAGAATCAACCCCAACCAAATGTCCAGTGTTTAGCCTCTGACCCTTCAACGCTGTCGGGGGATTTTACTTTCAGGGCTTCATTCCTGACTGCGTTATTTGGGCTGCAGTATAATTATAGTAGTGAACTGTCCGTTTTCTTTTTATTTACATTTGGTTTAAATCGTCCACTTATTATTCAAATTAATTAACGAAAGTGTACTCTTTATTTTTCCATGACGATTGGACAAATTGTGGCTCCAGTGTCTCTAGCATGTATCACTGACTCTTCAACTGTGCCTGAACTCTGTCAACATGTAGCTAGCAAAGCTAACCGCAGGGAACAGACATGTACCGCATGATGTCCCACCGTAGTAAGAAACATAGCCACCAGCTGAGAAACAGAGAAAATATCCCAACATAATGATACAGCTCTAAGACATTTACGTTTAACCTTGCTCATGTGTTGACTGCACCTATTTAAAAATCTAGGAATTAGGGTTTTTTTCACCTGTAGTCCTGGCGTAGCACTTTCCAACTATGTGTAACAGCGAAACATCGCCGGTCGGAAACCTTTTTCAGTTTCCCCCGCTTGTTCTTCTTCGTCTGCTTAAAAGCAGTTGGCATCAGTCTACGTCAGTGTTTTACTGACCCCATGTGCTGTGGTTCATGGAAGCACCAGACGAAACAATAAATCTACAGTACACGTACAATGACCGTACATATGTGATTATTTTAAGTGTTCGGCATTTTAAATCTCACTTAAGAAAAAGTGCATAGCTGCTTGTCATGCAAACAATTATTTTTGCAATTATATTATATTACTTTCTGTGTGCAGTTTGCATGTTCTCCCCGGGTACTCCGGCTTCCTCCCGCAGGCCAAAGACATGGACTTTGTGGGGATAGGTTAATTGAAAAATCTAAATTGCCGACAGGTGTGATGAATGTGAGTGTGAATGGTTGTCTGTCCCTGTGTGTTAGCCCGGCAACAGACTGGCGACCTGTCCAGGGTGTACCCCGCCTCTCGCGCTATGACACCTGGGATAGGCTCCAGCACCCCCCGCGACCCTGAAAAGGATATGCGATGGATGGATGGAAAAATATAGAGGTACTATGTTTAGTTTTAATATCTGTTAGTTTGGTCAAAATGTTATTGCAATTTGCCTGATGAGGTATTCATGGGAATGTTTGGATGTCTACAAGACTGTGAGTGGCGTGCACTGCCTTTTATAAGTCTGGCCTCTGACACACACCATCCACACAAAAACAAAAACAACACTGAAACTATATTAAATGTAAAATAAAACAATTTCCAGTAATGTATTTAATGGGGTGGCACAGGCGAGAGAACAAGAACATAGTGAGGGTGTTGTGAAACAGACATTCTCTTGTAGAAAGGTGTTGGGCCAATCATATTTTAGGTCACCCCACGGACCATGTGGCCAATGATTTCTGAGTCAATTCTTGTGCAATTCTAAAATGTAATTTTATAAATAAAGTTTTCTTACATAAATACATAAATAATATAGATTTAAACAGACACTTGAACACAGGTATTTAGATTACATTTTTATAGTCAAGACATTTACACAGTCGTAAAGATTTATTTCTGCATTAGAACATATGGTTTCCACACAAAATAGAGTCAAATCATTTAGAACAAAAGTCTGGATCGGTCGTATTTGACTGATGTGACATTCAGCAGGAATTAGTAATAAGGTGCGAACAGCGACATTATTCCATTTTCGGATTAACAGTCAACATGGTAACACAGTTAATGGAATAAAAACAAAAACAACATAAGCTCACATAGTCACATATCTCCTCACCACCTGTTTAACTGCAGCTTCACACAGAAATGCAAATACTCTACATTCAAATAGCACTGACTCGTGTTTTAGCTTTAAACAACAAAACGAAGACAAAGCATAACAATCAGCGACAAGCTCTGTTTGTTTAAAACACAACATATAACATACACAATTTAAAAGAAACAAGACGTCCAGCATTTATTGCAGGCAGGTTGCTGTTGTGGTAGGCCGTCCTACAAACCAGTCAACCTTTTAAATGATCCAAATGTAACCATTATGGCCCTTTACTAATCTAAGTGGCACACAAAGCCCCACTCACTCATCTTTGCATGAGAAATCACCCGTCACCATGGATACTGACAGATCTCAATGTTCACCCAGCTGTTGTGTTATATTTCCTGCTGTCTCCTTACTGAATTGTAACAATCCCGTTTGATTTCAACTTAGATGTTATTTATTGATTCTTAGAATTTACTTAAAGTAATGGTCTGAGAGAACCGATGGTTATGAATCCAAGTATTGCAAACACAGCTGAGAAAATGTATTTCAGGAAGCACCCTGCAGCTTTTTTTCAGTTACCGATTTAGACATAGAGCAGTAGTTACTATAGTCACTCTCTTTTAGCTACGTGTTTGGTCTTTATCCAAATCTGAGAGATATAATATTTATAACAGAAAATATGGTTCTTTTTTCTCCTCACTGTAAAACAACTTCCTGGTAGGTGCCTGCAAAAGTTATACAAAATAACATAATAGTAATAGTAATGGTAAAAGTCTGCACAGTTCCATCCCAGGAGTTCCTTTCATGTTTTCTGCCATCTTTCAAACATTCACTAAGTTTGCATCTCTGCACTTATTTCTGTGAAAATTAAAATGAGTGACACAAAGCCAAAACAATCCCTTTAATGTTCTGTTTCACTGAAACACAAACAGTACAGGCAGTACAAAGCATGTAGGCAACATGAGGAAAAAGCTTTATAGTCATCAGTAAATCGATGCTTTAACCACACCTGTTTCATCCTAAGGGGACACACATATAGTCAGCCTGTCCTTTGGTCCACACAAACATACTGCGTCTTTATCCTATCTGTATATAATTTGCTTTGTAGCGTAACTTAGTGCTTTTGGGGGATGAACAACACAATCAGCACATTAAGCCCAACAACAGATACCCACAGTCAAACACATGTACCACAGTGCATTGAAAACATCTGATGCTTGATAGTGAAGGAGGGTAAGAGAGACTGGTACCTTCAACCAAAAGCACTTCAGACTGAACCGACTGCTTCCTTCTTTAAAACATCACACTTTTAACTAATCCTAACATCACAGTGAAGCTACAAATAATATTTGGAGCCTGCTTCTAATCCACACACAGCTACCACTTGACTGGGAACAACCTTTAGAAAGTTCATCCTAAAAAACATAGTTTTATCAATCTCAATGGTGACGGCACAGATCAGGTGGGAAGATCATTTTCAGCTTTGGACATCGGGTGGAGAGGAGCTTCTGGTCATTACACAACCATCATTACATAAAGCTTTCCTGACCCTTTAAAACAAGCTGAATCAACCGTTTACACAACATTTACTGAATTTCTCATGTGTTTTTTTTTTTTTTCAAGTAAAAACACAGAATATTCTTTCAAATTATCCCTCAACTTTATTTGCTGGTGGCTTTTAACATGAACTGTATAGACAAGGCAGTGTTGTGACAGCTAACCACACTAAAAACATCTAGAGATAAAATATTGCTCACAGAACTATTAGTATTTGATACGGCAGTGACTCTAATCTGCCATATCAGACACGAACACCTGGGTTAAACACTACATCATGGGGAATAACTATCCAGTACGGTGTGGTCCCGTTCACGTCACTGAGCTGTGTGGAAAATAATCCCGTCTTCTACCCATTTTCACAGGCATGTTTCAGGACTGGGGGTCATGCCACCATTTAGTTGGGGCTCTTTCAAGAACTTTTCCACTTCCTGTGAGTCCACTGTTACGCTCTTTGGCCTGACCTCGTCTACTTTTTCTTTGTCTTTTTCCTCCTCCTCCTTCAACTCCTTCGATACCTCCCTCTTTGTTTCCTTCTCTTGCTCCTCTCTCTCTCCCTTCTCCTCTTCATCATTTACCTCCAAAGGCCTGCTGCATACTTCTGTCTTGGTGTCATCTGTGACTGTGATGCACTCAAGTTTGTGAGATGGCTCCTGGGGCTTCCTTTTGATAAAGAAGAAGTTGCAGGTAGCTAGAACCACAGCGGAGAGGACCACCTCGCTTCCTGCCAGCAGGAAGACGTACATGTATTTCTTGGTGGCATCGAGCAGTCGGCCTGAAACGGAAGAACACAGTGAAAGATGCAATTATATAGTAGAAATGATTTCGCTTCATTTGTGGCGATGCTGGTTTAAATAAACATATAGTGACACGTTTATGGATTCTTTATAATTATCTGAATTTCTGCACTCATAACTCATAAAATGTGCTTAAATCATCCTGTACAATAAAACTGTAGACAGAAAGTACCTAACCCTAACATATGAACAGTTTTTATGAAGTATACATGCAGTCCAATTTAAAAAAAAAAAAAAACTAACTAAGTGCATGTTTACCAGTCCAAAGCAATTAAAAGGGTATGTACCCACATAGCAAGCAGGTCTGGCCCGGATCTGGTGTCAAGCTGGCACTTCTGACTGACCGGTGTCATGGCAGAGTGTTTGTCAACCAGATGTGCGCTAGGTCTGGCAATGACGCCACTGTTTATGCGATGGCATGCCATATCTGGCTCGATTGTGGTTTGGTGTATGTGGCCCAGGCCCATAGAAAACAGGTCTTCCCTGGGTCCGGCATCAGGTGGCACTTCTGACTGACTGGTGTCATGGCAGGGTGTATGTCAACCAGATGTGGGCCAGGTCTGGCAGTGATGGCACTGTTTATGTTCCTATTGTCCTATTTTAGTTAGAAGACTCAAATGCCATGTTGCAATACTACACTGCTATGGTAGCCAACGTTTCAAATGCAGGTTTGACAGGTTTGTGAGTGTACACTTTATCCAAAACTTAGTGACGGTTTACTCATCTTTGCCAGTGGATGGCTGTAGCTCAGGAGGTAGAGCAGGTCACCGACTGATCGGGAGGTTAGTGGTTCCCTGTCTCCTCCAGTCTGCATGTCAAGAGTGTTTATGTGAATGAATGTAGTTAGGAAGCACTCAGTTTAGAGAAAGTGTGCGATTGGGTGAATGTGACATGTTGTATAGAGCACTTCTGGCACATGTTGTTATTACATGGCTTGATTAAGGTACACATTAGGCTGACATCTGGGGCCAGAGCTGAAACAGTTCTGGGCCAGCAGTGTGTCTACAACTGGCCCGTGGCTGCACACAACTTACACATGGCCCACATACCGCAAAGAATGACGGCCCTTTGGTGGCCCAGATCAGGTTTGCCAGAGGTAATGTGAACGCCTCTTTAAAAATCATTTTGGCAGTTTACCAGCCTGGTCTTTACTGGCTACAATTAGCATGTTCATGACTGTCCAGGGTAGGAAAAGATGAACAAGTATGAACAATGTCCTCTGGACAGATAAAACCAAAGTGGAGATGGCCATTAGGCACAGCGCTACATCTCATGCACGGTGGTGGAGGAGTGAGGATTTGTGTTTGTTTTGTTGCAGCGGGATGTTGACCCCAAGCACGGCAGCCAAGCTGCAACAGAATATATGAAAAAAAGTGTTGCAATGGATCTCAACCTGATTTAAACACTGTGGTGGGCCCTTAAGAGAGCTGTGCTCAATTGAATGCCAGCAAACCTCCATGACCTGAAGTAATGCTGTAAAGAAGAGTGGGTGAAAATCTTAAATCTTTCACATGATTTGAGATAGTGATACAGTGGTACAGAGAACAGTTACTTCAAGTTATTTTTGTTAACAGTGGTTCTACAGCTACTGAACTGTGTATAAGACATGCGCCAATTAAATAATCACTAAAGTCCCAACTATGACCCGTTGGTCTTGAATACAACCTCATATCTTCCTGTTGGGCTCACGATCAACAGCTACTACCAAATAAAACAAGTCTTCCTTTTAAACGCAGACTTCACGGAGGCCAAATGTAAACTCAAAAGCAGCTTTATTGCTGACACAAGGGAAATGATGCAAAACTATACTGGGACATGTATGAACAAGTAAACAAAGAGGCAAACTGGGAAACACACAGCCATGAATGAGGGAGACTGCGACACTCGACAGAAGAAAACAAAAGGCTTAAATACACAGGGAATGACGAGGGAACAGGAAGCTCATGAGGAACACAGCTGGGACACAAAGCTAAACATAACACATGAGACAGGGTACCGTCAAAGTAAGAGAAGCAAAGCAAAACATGGCACAGCCGGGAGACTACCAAAGTAAAACAGGAAGTAACGGGAACACACACACAGAGGCGCTGGGTCAAATGGCCCAGGATGGTGACACTGACCTGCACCCGGTGGCCCCACCAGCACAGCAATGGCCTCCATGAGAAGCACAAGGCCAATGGCACTGGAGAACTTCTCAGTACCGACAATTGCCATGAGAACTTCAAACTGTAGGGCACCCACCATCCCATAGGAGACGCCAAAAAAGACACAGAATACCACCAGAGAGGCATAGTCTTTGGCCTGGGAACAAACACAAAATAATGAACAGAAGCCTTCAATGTTTGGACTTCATTTTCCAGTTCAAGGAAGTATGTGATCACTCACCTGTGAGCCAATCAGGTCAGTGACTCCATTGAAGAGCATAGCAAAGCTGAAGAGGTAGACGCAGCGAGGCCGGACCCATTTGAGTCCAGCGATTATACCGCACGTTGGCCGTGCAAAAATATCAATGAATCCCAGGATAGTAAGCAGTAAAGCAGATTTGGTGTCTTCATTTCCCAGCTCCTTAGCGTAACTAACAACAAACACAGGAGGCACGAACAGTCCCAGCACCATGATGGATGCCGCCACAGTATAGATGACAAAGCCACCATCTTTAAACACGGAGAAGTCCAGAAGTTTGGCTTTTGGCTTCTTCTTCTCCTCTTTCCCCTCTTCCTCCTTGTCATTGTCCTCTTCGAAGCTCTTGGCCTTGAGGTTCTTTGGGGCCACCAGAGGCTTCATGAGGGCCCCGCACACACAGCAGTTCAGCAGGATACCACCAAGGATAAGAAATCCTCCCCTCCATCCATACTGATACTGAAGGACCTGTCCCAGTGGCGAGAGGCAGCAAAGAGCCACAGGGCTTCCTGCTGCTGAAAGGCCATTGGCCAGAGGACGCTTCTCGCTGAAGTAGCGGTTCAACATAATCAGAGAAGGTTGGAAGTTCAGGGCTAATCCAAGACCTGCAGCAAATAAAAGAAAGGGTTACACTCTTCAGCCTTTTTAACTTGAACTTACCTGCTTTCATTAACATAGTTTTCTTTTTCCCTACATTTCTACATGATATGGAGACAAAGCATTTCAAGATGTTTCTAACCTTACTCTAATGTTTGAGATATGCTCATGCAGAGCTTGTTTACATGACATCAGCCATATGATTTAATATATCTTAATGGTATAATGATGCAAACTTTCTGACAGCATCTCCTGTAAAGTATTTGTGGTGTTGTTACCTTGAAACCTTTGTACCACTAACCTACATTACGGTTTCAAATGCTGCTCAATGATCCGATAAGCACTTGCGGTGGAGTATACTTTCACTGTAACCTTAACCCAGGCGGCACACCGGGGTGTTCTCATTATCAAAGCTGCAGGCTTGTCTCAGTTAAACACAAGGTGTCCTTTGGTGAAGGGGCTTATTTGACCCCAGACCACAATATTTCCCAAACTTAACCAAGTAGTTGTAAGCCGGTGTACCTTACAAAACACCTTTTGGTGTTTATAAACCTAAGCAGCTTATAAAAAGCCCAATGGGGGAGGGAGCAGGAAGGAAAAACAAATGCAGAGCAAGCAGGGATAATTTGATTATGATGTATTGAAATATAGGAAAAACATTAATGCATTCTTCTAATAATTGTATTGTAATCTATTCTCAATTTATTGGGCGTAAAGCATTGTGTGATTTTATTTGACAATGTACAAGTGTTCGTGACCTGTAATGACTCCAGCAGTGAGGTAGATGTGGATGATACTTGTGGCAAAGGAGGCCAGAATCATTCCCAGAGAGGCAAAGAGGCCCCCCACCATCATGACTGGACGACAGCCTAAGCGGTTCACCAGCACGCTGCACAGGGGACCTGGACAAAGTGTAACATAATATGACTGCATGCATCAGGCGCAGTGTGCAGCACATGAAAAGAAAAGCGGCGAGTATTAAGGTACAAACACAAGCATTTTCCAAAATTTCACATTTTATATCATTGTTAATATGATATAAAATATCCCTCTGAGAATATGCAGATACATTATTTTCAAAATGAGATCATCAAATCCTCGAGCGAATCCTTATTTCTTTACACAAAGCTCAAGAAACGAACCAGTGTTTGTGTCTGCACGACAGACAAATTTGCAAAGAGACACTTTTTAATTAACACACAATTTGTTCCAATTTCTTAATCTGAATCTTCGGGTGATGCCATGGATTACACAGTTTGACAGCAAAAAAATATATATTTTTGCACCAATAAGTCAATCCGCAAAGAGCTACTAGCTGAAAACATGACATCTGAGCATGGTGTGTGTTTCCCCTCTTTCTGTCCTGCTCACGCTTCCGGGATTCCTGTTATGTTTGATCCAGGGCTGCAGACTGTGGAGTTTTGTTCTGTGCCTGTCTCCAGTGTTCAGTGCTCAATCAAAACAAATGTTTAGGATGAAATGGGGCAAAAGGGAGTTTCAAAAAGCTTCTATTGCAGTATTTTTTAAAATTAAAGAACTGCATAGGTACATAATGCTTCCAAGTACAAAGAGTTTAAAAAAAATGTGAATACTGAACAACGTGTAACAGCCTACCTGTGCCATAGAGCATGGCCAGCAGTATGGAGGAGATCCATGCAGTGTCGCTGTATCCAACACCAAACTCCCTGATCAGCTCTTTGAAAAATACGCTGATCGCTTTTGGGAAAGCATAGGAGAAGCCTGTGATGACAAAACAGCCAGCCAGCACTGCCCAGCCCCAGCCTCCGTCTGGAGCCTTCACCCTGGAATCACCCACATCCAATGCAACACCTCCCATAGTCCTTTAGGGCTGTATCTTAAAGAAGGCAAATGGAGAAGCTGGAAAAAATCAATAAAAGCAACAGCAAGACGGGGATTTAGTTTGTGTCTAATTCAGTCCTGCATGAAGTGCCTATGTTCTAATAACTGCAACAACATCTGTTCTCTGTAATTATGAAGAATCAGAGAGGTGCATGGTACTCTAAGCATGGCTAGCTCTCAGTTCACAAGTCTTCACTGTGATACATCATGTGCATCAACAGCTCTAGACTCAAGTTATGCTGATTGGCAGAGAAGAAAGATTTTTAGTAGACAGGATCCGTGAACACCCACAAAGAATCAAAACTGTCAAATGAAACAAAGAGTGCACACTTTATATTCATTTTTAATGTATTGCACATCTTGTTAGCCACACATTCTAAAAAATGTGGCCTCAGTAGTTTAAATACATCGAGGTGACAGATATATCATAATTTAATCAGATGTTCCAAGATGATAACAAACAGAAAATGTCCCATTGCCACTGCAGTGTATGTGTGAAAACGTTGTTAGTTTGGTTCCAACAATTATCCCAACAATTATCCCAAACCAAAGACACCGAGGAGTTTTGTTGTTGATTGACCGAGTCTGACACCTCACCTCAATGCAATGGATCCCATGTTTTATGTTTTCCCCTCTCCCACTTACACGAGTGGAAAGATAAGATAGTGGTCACAGACTTTAGACAGACATCATAACAATCATGTAATTCATTTTTTATGTCTCCAAAAATTTTGTGGATTATTTAAGAACTGACCAGCAAACAGATTGTGTGTACAGACCAAGACCAAGAAAACAGTTTAATCCTGAAAATATTATCATTTCTTTCCAAGTAAAATTGCTAAAGTAGAGATTAAAGAAATCAAAATAACTCATCACTGTATTTACTATTAACTAACTAGGTAAACAAACCACTGGTAAGTGTTAAAACTTGTTCAAATATAAAGAGTCTTATCTTATACAGCTGTTAATGCTTGTTCAGCCTCATCTGCTTCAACCAGTTGTTGAAGCAGATGCTCTTATAAATATAAGACAGCAGAGAGTTACATGTCATCCTATAATGCTTTGTAATGGACTAGCTCAGAGATTTACAGGCTCACTGGTCCTCTGGAGCGATCATTGGCTTTTACCTCACAACCATACATCAGCACCACCACTTACACCCGATAGTTTCATGTATTGTATGTAAATCCAAATTATATATCAGTTTTTATTTTGGCGTGGAGGAGGGGTGGGCTTAGCTGCTTAGATGCTCAGCTGCTGGTGGGACAGTGAGGAAACAGCCAGTGGCTCCATCAGTTAATTTACGATCCCCTGAAGAAAGAGAAGGATTGGAATGCAGGCTGGGCTCTTGTTAAACAATCAGCAATCCTTTGTCTCTACGAAACACGAGCATTTCAAGCTGTCAGGATTGTGACGTGACCAACCTAACAAATTTTAAAAACCCCGCAGGCCACCAGAGCCTGTGCAATGCTCAGTCCCCAGGGCAATATCCTACATTCTTACACAGTCACAATAAGGAACATATCTTAGGACTATTGTTTGGACGATGATATCTGCTTTCCAAAATGTCCAGAGTGTCCTTGAAAAACAGATAACGTTACATCTCTGCTAAAATCGACTTGATTTATGCTGCACTGCTCATCCACAAATAACTCAAGTGCACTCTGTCGTCACAGACGGATGAGCCAAAACGCTAAAATGTTGCATTTTAAGTTTTCTGCTGCATGTATTCACAAAATTAGGGAATGTAGTTTTAAGGCCTTAATGGTAACTGCCCCAAACCTAAATAAATTATTGAATACATAAAATCTGAATTTTCCTTTTACAAAAATATTTTAAGTGTATTTTTTTAAAACTACTTCAGTAACATTTTTTCCATTTTTAGCTTTTAAAAAATGCTGTTTTCCTTTTCTGTAGCCAAGAAAGGTAAAAATTAAAAAATATATGTAATATTGTATATTCTGTAACTTTATAGGTTGGTCCTCTATAGTTTATTGTTATTTATAGGAAGAACAAAGTACAGTTATGGTATAATATCATGAAGGAATGACTGTTTTGTGCTGGGACTTTAAAACTGCACTAATCAATATTTCCATGGTAACAGTGGATCAATTTACGATGTGTACTCACACTGATTAACCCACAATTGTCCCCTTTCCTGTGTTCTGCTCAACAGAGAGTATTTTTTTACTGAGGTTAATAACTGCTGATTCCAGCTTCACTCAAACCATCACTTTATTTTCAGACAGCTGTTTTCAGCAAAACGCTCTAAAAACACGTCACTATGAACACAACATCCAGCATTTTGAAGCATTTTTCTGCTAATGAGTTACATATTTCTCTCAAGAGTTCACAAAAACCCAGAGACTGTATATAAAAGAAAGACATAGCCACTGTAATCTGATTTTAGGTGATGGTGTATCAACCCTGTGCCTGGTTCAAAGTGTCTTAACTTGTTTATGTCTTCTTTAGTTAATCGAAATACACTTAAAAAAAAATCTGTGTTTGTTTTAGACCTTTCAACTTTTTATAAGTATTACTCATGCACGGCACATCTATAAGCTCAGTTTTTAACAGCTCACTGTGTACACTGCACCCCATGGTGTCCCAGGTACCCAACATTTGAATCACTCTTTACTCTTTCCAGCAGACTGAGAATAATTTATTCTACAGCCTCCCTCTGCTAATGTGGTTATATTAGCACATTATTTTAGCACATGAACCCTCCCCACATCGCTGCTGTATGGTTTTCTGTCTGTTCCTGTGCAAACTAACAGCAGAGCTGTATTTTTTGTCTGTTTTTTAGTGAGTTAGCAGATGGAATATTATATTTAGATTTAAACTAGGTAGCTAACTTCCTGCTAACTTCTAACTCAGCAAAATCTTATAAACCCTCCTCTGTGTGGATGCCCGGATGTTTATTGCAACTCCCAGGAAAAAAGCCACGCTGACAATTTCATTGGATTTTCTTCATTGTTATTTTAGCAGCTCTTAACTTTCAGTGGTGCTGTTTTTGATTTTGAATTGTCAGACATACCTTAAGATTACTGTTTTAGTACTATTAGTATTAGTAACAGTATTTTTTTTTACCACATTTTAAAGAGAAGATGTTGTTTTCAGTAATACTTAAAACTAGTGACTGAGACCATAAATTACTTTCTTTTTGAAAGCACAAAGTATCCCTTTGCTGTCCATGAGAAAGAAGCCTTTTAAGCCTTATGTTTATCTTTTATATACAGTTTGTGTAAAGACCGAAAAAGAAAGTAAAGTGATTATACTTTATTTTATGTTAGAAATATGCCTTTGTCCAGTGGATGATCATTCATCTTTGTGCCTTTTAGAAGAAAATTAAAAAATATATATTTAAACCATTTTACATTTCTCACATTTTTTTAATAAAATAATGTAAACCAGAAGTCTGAAGTCAGGAAATGTATACAAAATATTTGAAACAGTAAGGTTGATAAAATGTATACAAAATAACTTAAAAAGGGCTTTTATAGCTTTGATGATGTCATTGGCTTATTGATTTATTTTTAATTCAGAGTCTTTTTGTTTTGTATGTGTCTTTTTTTTTAAAATAAATTATTTTAGGTATGAATTCGACAATTTGACATTAACAATATTTCGATTCCAATATAATTTTGATTTCAACCTTTTAAGATAAAAGTTTCAAGACTAAAGCAACAAATCCCTGCTGTGTGTATACCAACGCCACTCACATCCCAACAGGGGGGGTTGCATCGTGAAAAGCCTATAAGCTATTATCCCTGAATACCGACGCACACCTATGTCAAAACACACGCAGTCAGAATCGCGTGAGAAAACATGCATGAAAATTGAGCTATCACGAGAGATCACCCGTCCCATGAATATGTGTCACTGTGGCAGAGACTTTTCTGCTCCAATCGTCTCTAAATGAAGTTGAATTTCTA